TAAAAATATTGTCAAGTTTTAACACCTAATCTCTTGTTAACGATTGAAAGTGTTCTATCTGACTCAATAATTAAAAAAAACAAATGCGTGGTTTATTAATATGGCTGTACAATATACCAATGCAGAATATACCGATATGTTACTGACAATAGGATTTTGTGAAGGAAATGCTCGAGAGAGTGTCAGGGTGTACTCTAAAAGGTTTCCAAATCGTCGTGTACCTAGCCACCCAACATTTGCTGCTGTTGAGAGACGTCTTCGGGAGACCGGTTCCTTTGCTCCCAACACTGTTGATAATGGAAAAGAACGTTTTGTAAGGATTCCTGAAGTTGAAGAAGACATTTTAGAACGTGTTGAAGAAGATCCAGAATTAAGCATCAGACGAATTGGAAGGGAACTAGGAGTAAGTAAAGATGTCGTTCATAAAGTGCTTAGAGAACAATTGCTATATCCATACCATAAGAAGCCAGTACAAGAATTATTAGTCCATGATCCTCAATTCGTTTGGGTTTTTGTCGATTTGTTAATATGCAAAGAGAAAGCGATCCAATATTTGTCAAGAAGGTTCTCTTTACCGATGAAGCGGGTTTTACAAGAAGAGGTATAACTAATACCCATAATGAACATGTTTATGCCGTTGAAAATCCGCATGCAATAAAGGTAAACCATTTTCAGCACGAATTCAAAATTAATGTGTGGGCTGGAATAATGAATAATTTCATTGTTGGTCCTGTCATACTTCCACGAAGATTAACTGGAGAAAATTATTTGGATTTTCTACAAAAAACGTTGCCAGAAATGTTAGAAGATTTACCTCTCCAACTTCGGAGGGATAAGTGGTTTATGCAAGATGGAGCTCCACCACATTTTTCTTTAAACGTTAGAAACCACTTGAATGAACAATATCCACACAAATGGATAGGCAGAGGTAATGACGCACCTGTAAACTGGCCACCACGTTCCCCAGACCCTAACACCAATGGATTACTTTTTATGGGGACATCTGAAATCCACAGTTTACAGGGAACCTGTAGAAAATAAGGAACAACTCTGGCAACGTATTCAAGATGCAATAAACAATCTTAGAGGTGATGAAGAAGTTATGGAAAGGATACATTTTAATTTTCTTCGACGTATAAATCTTTGTATGCGTGAAAATGGTGAATATTTTGAACAATTTTTGTAAAATCTCTATTTTGATTGTTGTAAATAAATTTTTTGTGAAACCTATACACTCTAAATTATTAAAACAGAAATTTAGCGAAAACCATGAGAGTAATCGAGTCTTATCAAAAGTGCCTTTTTTAAAGTAAATGAGTTGCGCAATCTAAATTTCATACTCAAACTCCTTTTCTTCCATTGGCGTAGAATTTTTAAAGGTGCAATTATTTAAAAAATCAAGTTCCACGCCTATGTACTATTATCGGACAAAATTTTAATACCATTTTTTTGCCATATAAAACTCTACCAATATACCAAATTTCAGCAAAATCGCATATGCAGTTTTAAATTTATATGGGAAAAACGATTTAAAAATTGTAACTTCAAGGCCCTCTGGAGCCCAAACGAAGCAACTTTGTACTAAGGTAATTTTACTTAAATCGACTTATTTTGGTCTAAGGAATATGTGCTATGTTTTTGTACAGACCTTTTACAGACACCCTGTATAATAGTATATTCTTCAACGAATGATAGCTAGTGTTGGAATAATTCGAGTAAATAATAGCCATATTCTATGCGAGTTGAAAAATATACTTTCTCCACGACTATTATAGACTGTTATACAGGGTGATCTCAAAATCTAAAAATTTTATATAGTGGAGGCAAGAGTCGGGATTTTGGCAAAGAATACCAAATAAAAGATCAAGTAACTAAGTAGGCGTAGTGTTTTAAAGAGATTTTTATTATTTAATCAGTTAACTACATTGAAACAGAGGTAGGTACTGTAAAATTTTAAAGTTCCATTTAAAAATGTTATTTTAATTGTGTGACATCCTGTATAAAATAGTATTCGGTTAATTTAAATTCAATTATCGCAATACGCAATATTTCTAAAAAATGGAAATTTCGTTAAGTAAAGCAGACGATATCGCCATTAGGTCTTGAAATTTCATTTTCCGATATTATCTTGTAGTATCCACTAGTGTTTGGCTGTACAAGTGATGAGTAAAAAAAAAGTATAATGTTATAAAAATATCTCAGTAGAAATTATATTTCAACCTGTTGTTAGTTATAAGTTTATTTTTTTTGAAAGTCAAGTTAAATTTTTTAAATATGTTTTTATAATTCGTTTTGGTTGCTGAAATTGCACAGTGTTTAGAGTAATTAGTTTTTATTGCATCTTGATTTAATTTTAAAAAGTAGATGTTTCTAGAGTACTAATACTCCTGCACTATGGAGTACTAGACTACTAGTACAATCCATAACCTACATATAACATTAGCCTAATGACCTTAGATGTTGAAGCCGTACACCAAAGAAAAAAAAAATTATATTATATCTCATAAAAGAGCCACTTGAAAAACAAAATTTATTTTTTGTTTAGAAAACAAATCGAAGCAGCTAGAACTAGAACTGGAATTAACATTTATACCTAAACTTCAAAATCTATATCTTCCATCTTGGACATTGAAGATAACTGAATGTTTCCTAAAAGCAGAAATATAGAAAGAAAGAGATTTGGTGTTCGTGCTCGAGTAGCAGAATTACAGAAGTTCTACTGTATCCTAAGGAAGTTGCCACCCAAACCCATATAGTGGTAACTCGATAGTGGCTAATTTTAATATTGGAGACATAAAATTTAAATTTACCAGCTTAAGTTCAATATTTACTTGTTTCTTAAAATTTTCACTTACTTTTTACTGAATAAACTAATTTATAAATACATATGTACATGTCTTATTTTTTTAAAGGTTACAACTATTCTCTTTTTTGCATAAATTTTTAACCGACCGAAAAAAGGAGGAGGTTCTCAAATCGTCTCAATATTTTTTTTTATGTATGTTCAGCGATAATTCTTTAAAACGGTGTCCGATTTCAATGATCCTTTTTTTGTTAGAAAGGGGGTACTTCAGGGGTGGTCCCATATAAATTTGGTCAAAATCTAATAATTGGGTCCATGAAAAAATCCTCAAACTCTTCATTTTTTATGTATGTTTAGCGGTAATACTATGCCACCTTGTCCGATTTATATGATTCTTTTTTGTTAGTAAGGGGGTACCTCAGGGGTGGTCCCATATAAATTTGATTAAGATGTGGTGATGTCATCTGCACGTTTTTGAAGTCGGTTTTTTTAAATTGTTAATTTCTAATACTTGTATATAAGTTTTAATTAATTTCCTTTTGATGAAGCTAGAGTTTATAATTTTCACTAGCTTTCTAAAAATAAAAAAAAGAGAATAATTGGCGCCCCTTTCTCCCAGAAAACTATTATCCCCAAAGCTTTTGTGAGGGCTCCGCGAAGAAAATAATAGTCATAATAAAAAAAGCAGTACTATCGCTTTTTTTTAGTCACTAACAGGAAAGAGGATAGTTTGTTTTTTCTCGAGGAAAGAGGATATGATTTTGATTTTTTTGTGGGGGCTCCGGGAATAAAGGAGAAGGACCTGATTTGAGGCCTGATTTTTTTAGAGACACTAAGAGGAAGGACGATATTAACCCTTTTTTTAGAAATGTGTTTAGGGCTCCGTCAAATATTTCGCTTTTAAAAAAGATTCTGTCACCAAAAAATTTGAGAACCACTGCTTTAATGTCATTATCACATTAAAAAATTTCAGAATCCATTTTGTTTAAAAAAACTTCGTAATAATTCTAATATCTAAAATACGGTCAGATTAAATGTTATATTGTTGTTTAATTTCTAGGTTATTCGGGTTTTTTAATGTTTATTGGAAAAAGGCATTCTTCTTATTTATCTTTTTTAGCAGCTATACACAGGGTGGTTCATGATATCTAGAAAGTTTTATTTGAAGGGTTGTTTTTAAAAAGACGAGAACATTTCAAATACAAAAGTCCCACGGCTTACAAAGGCGTCCATGGCAAAAATATTCTCCAATACAAAAGCAAGGCAAAATTTGTTTTTCTAATGTTTAAAATATTTTATTTTTGAAAAAATCTAAGTACTTTTGTCTAAAACACAATATGTTTAAATTCAACCATTAGGGTGCTACAACTTGCCAAAGAGTTAAAGTCAATTTTCGAATGTCCGTAACTTGAACACAATTATTTAGACATATAGTGTTTCAGATAAAAATACTTAATTTTTAGTAGAATTTTAAAAATAAAATACAGGATGTTTCATTTGAACAAAAATGTGTTGCCTTGTCACCCTGTATAGTTAAAAACACCCCTACAATTGGCGCCTCTGCAAACCGCAAAACTGTTGTATTTGACACTTTCTCGTATTTTCAAAAACAACCGAGATACTGGACTTCCACCCACTAATGTGCCACCTGTTTATATTAAAATTGTTTAAGGTCTACTAGATATTAATATGCAATAAAAAATACAACAAACAGGGTCCACCAATTTTTATGTACAAGTACTTTTAAGTTTTGCCTATTTTAAAAGTTTATTATGTATAACATATATTTTTTTAAATAAACGATTTCAACAATTTTTATTTTATTTAAAAAAAAACTGATTCAATGTTAATCAAACATAGCTTTAATATACCCATTCGGCATTTTATATTCAAAAAATGAGGTTGTACAAAAATAATAAATTTCATATTGTACTATATTTTTTCACTAAACTAATTTTTCATTATTTCCCAAAATTTATTAGTTAATTATTTAAAAATGGAAGAAAATAGTTACAAAAATTTAATATGCAATGTTTGATTTAAATTGGTCAGATATTAGCCTGTTAAAAATTTTTCACCAAAACGTTACCATTATTGTTTAATTTAATTATAATAAAATTAAACGTATAACTACTTAGATATCTAATTAATAAAAATATGTGCAAAATTAATAAAAATGCGTGCAAACAAAACTTACGCAATTTCGCTGCATGCGTTGAGAAACAAACAACTGTCACGAACAGCAGACCAACTTTGACACAAAAACCCATAATTTCTAATGACAAATTACGAATTCAGTACTTGATGAGTTGAGAAACTAAGTGCCAAGGTTGGGTTTTCTTCAACACGTTGCCGCCGGAGAAGTAAAGTAGAGAATACCCCCAGTTTCCTTTTATATAGATGATAGATTAGTTTAAACGGTCACTGTCCAAGAAAAAAAAATTAACTAGAAAAAAATTATATTCGAGTTTGTGGTATTTCAGATTGCAAGGTTAACAGGATATTTTCGTGTGGCTCATTATTTATTGCAGTAATTTTTGTCAATTGCCTATATGGTCCAGTATATGAATATGCACTGGTCGATAAGAGCCTACTTTTAGAAAAATCAGAAACCATTAAAGTTCAAAACCTCATATAAACAAATGAATAATAGATAACTAATGGTATGGATCTGTTTGAAGACAGTATGAACCGTTTTTTCTATTACTTTCTCTTTCTACTTGGTATCATATGTGATTCGTCTATTTTAAATAGCAGCGCCAAAATTTTCTCACAACTTCAACAAGCACCAGGCAACTGTCAGGTTTGTTTGTACATTTTGTATAATTTTATATTCCCAGGGCATATTTTTATAGTTTTATAGTTTCTAGAATGTTTTTTTTAGCAAATTTGGTTAGTTGTAAGTCTAAAAATTACTATTCAATTTTTGTTAGTCCTAAAATATACATTTGGAGAAGTTCCATGTTGTTTCAAAGGTAAGTAAATGAAAAACATGGGCAGTACACCTATATTATAGAATAATTAGTAGTTTTTTACGCAAGTTTCCTACAAACTTTAAAGCAATGGAAATTTGGATTCAAAACCTAGATTAGGAACGGCTGAAATTGATAAAATTAACAAAAACACTAAAATATATTGAAAACATTTTTAAATTATGATTTTGTTATGAATTCTGCCGGGAAAGACGAATTTAAAACTGGAATTCCTATTTTATTCAATTCTCGTCTTGATCCGTCTTCAAGTAAGTAATAATAATATGCAACACAATACCTACAAATTATTCATACATTTTATACTTAGAGTTTAAAAATGAATGTATATCCTTCTTGACAAAATAAAATAAATCTTAGTGTTTCCTGGAAAGAAGAAAATTTATAAATATATAAATTACTCCAAAAAGTTTCTTATATCTTCTGAAAAATAGCAGTGAAATGAATTATACTTATAGAATGATTATATTATAAATATTTTATTAATTTTTTAGGGTAAATTTTCTTCCTACTAAATGTAGTGAATGACAGAGTCCAGAAGAGATTTATAATTATAATTTTTACATTCTGGATCGAAAAATTAAAGTTGTTCCACCGACGTTGCTTCAGAAGCTATAGAATAGGTTATTCAATTTATAAAGAAAACATCTATAAAAGAGTCTTAATTCAGAGAAAATAAGTTATGCTAAATATACTAGGTAAATTTAAAAATCCCCGTTTGTAGAAAATATTTATGACACATATCAGGTTGGAGATTATTAAAAGATCATAATATCATATAATCTCCGTTCGAAAATCTTAGCTTTACATGTCAAAACTTAAAGTGCGAACAGCAAAACACTATTCATGCATAACTCTTTTGAAAGCACTTTACTTTTTTCAAATACGAACAGCACAATAGAGAATACCAAAACATTTGTGCTTTACACTTTTGTTGTTTGTCACGTTTTTAAAGAGACAAGCTCCCCTGAATAATTCAGTGAAGTCCTTAATAGCATTAAGTCACTTAATGGATTTTTCATCAAATCAGAAATTTATGTGATTTAAATGTATAGAGAAGGTTTCTCAGACATTGTGCATATATTTGCTTTCCTGTAGACCTTTCAACTGGAAGAAAACCCAAAAAGCTTTCATTAATTTTAATGTTAATCTTATCCTGATTGGAATTGGAATCAGGTTTATTGATTAAAACAAGAGTCATTTGCTTTACCTTAGAAATATCAAGAATGCAATCTAAAATTAACAGGTCTATTATCTCGTTTTGAATATTTTTTACAAAATAGTGACCATTCGTTTATTCTTTTTTAAGCACCCTACGTACGTGTTTTTCCATGATTGTATCAAATTCAGATAGCAGCTCAAATATTTTTAAGAAGTTACCGTTATTATGTTCAAACAGCTTGTCGTTTGTACCTTGGAATGCCAGAAAATTTTTACCAAGCATTTTAGTGATTGCTATGATTCTTAAAAGCACTTCTTGCCAATAGTTTATTTTAGCGTTAATAAGTCTTCTGGAATCCGCATCTATAGTTTTACAACACCTTAATCTTAGGTTCAGTATTAGAAATAGTGATGCCGCGAGACGAGATATTCTCGTCTCTCGTCTCGTCTTGTTTCGTCTCGAACGAGTCGAGAGAAACATTTTCTCTCGAAAACAGATTCGAGACGAGAGAGTGACATCTCCCGACGAGAATTTCTCGTTTCTCTCGAGCTCTCTCGGGCTCTCTCAAACAATTTTGCTCTTTGCTTATTTGAAAAGACCCCTCTCAAACCTTATGGAAAAGTGATCTCTGTGGAAATTGCCTGAATTTTTAATATTGTATTGAGGAAGCCTTACTGATTAAAAGTTTCCATTGCGCCAAAGTCCAATAACCAATAGTTTCGGAGATACTGGCCAATGAATGTCTCATTCGCTCAAACCTTATGGAAAAGTGATCTATGTGGGAATTGCCTGAATTTTTATTATTGTATAGAGGAAGCCTTACTGATTAAAAGTTACCGTTGCGCCAAAGTCCAATAACCAATAGTTTCGGAGAATGAATGTCTCATTCGCTAAACAATCGTTTTCGTATTTTACTCATTGGATGTTTGTTTCTGTTTTCTATCTTATTTTGAACTATTTTAAAGGTCTTTTTTAAGACCGTTATGAAAAATAAGTAGTTGTCAATAGTGATGTTGAAAAAGTAATTCGGAACTCGAGTATCGTGACTTGAAGATACCCGAAGTAACGATCAAAAAACCAAATTATTACATTGATTACTCGTATACTACGGTTCGCAGTGGAGATAAACATAAACAACAATTAAATCAAACAATTAATAAAATAATTTAATAAGGAAAGCCTTGTTACAATTTAACCCATTGGATACCTGTATGGGGCCGCTATTGCGCTAGCCGGTTGGCAGCATCAGAAACGCTATGAAGAAGGTTAGACGGAGGGTACCGAATTTCAGGTTAATCTCTTGCATATCCCAAGTACTATAATATGGATGCAATATGACTACAACAGCCCAGCGTTCTAGCACTCGATTTGCAAGTGCAATAATGTCCAATAATGACATCTTCTTCCTGATTGTTTTCTTCGAGTTCGTTAATAGTCGTATAAGCAATCCATATCTGGTACGTGGTGGCGTTTCGGAATCGTGAGTACACTCTTGCTCAGAGAAATCCTGGTTCTGCATTTAATTGATCTATGTGGAGCTCTTCTATGGCATCCCAACGCAACTTGTCCTGTATATATGAAGGTGCAAGATTGATTTGATATATTCCAACCGTAATATCTCGCAGATAGTCTAAATCCAAACGAGGAAAGTCATCCAGGTTATACCCTCCTCTATTTTAACTTCTAAATGAGAAAGGATAATGAGAAAACAAAAACGAGGTAAATTTCAAGAGATATTATATTTTTGTTATAACGAGATGCCCTTTACTTGAGACACTAGCTTTTAATTTTCTAATGGAAAGTAGAGTCATGTGATACCTCATTAGAAAGATATTTTCTATATTTTTACGTTCATGTAAACAGATTTAGGTTTTTATGTTTTTACAGAATTTACATTAAATAAATTCATAAAGTAGGTTAAATTGTTTTTATTTATTTACCGCTTCAACCTCAAAAAATAAGTTACATAATAATAATAATAATAATACTCTCCCTAATTCACCCCCTTACGAGTGAATTTTAACCCCAAAAGCTGAGCTTGTCCGGGGAGAGGGACAACTATTATTATTATTTGCCGTGGCGCTCCGGGGCGACTTAAAGATGATTGATGGTGCCATTTGACTTACAGGTGAGGAAAACCCGGAAAACCTCACCCACCATCATCGAGACGGTAATGTATGGCGAATTTTTTTAATCTGCATGTCATATCAACAGAAATTGAATTTCTATTAATTCGCCACACATCAAATCCTAAACCGAACCATGCAATTTAATTAAAAATCCACATGGTCTGGTCTAGGATTCGAAACCCAGCAGTCTCAGACTCATAAACTTGCCTATAAATGAATATAAGCGCGATAGACCGCTACACCACCGTGCCCTTGATAACTCTCGTTTTAACAATTATTGTTTATTACTAAGAAAACGCTTTTTGTATTTACTAAAATAAATAAATTAAGAATATCGAAGGTGATTTAAAAACCACTTGACGTATTAAATTTTTCATAATTTCGTAGCAAAAAAAACTTATTTGAAAATTATCTTCTAATATTTCTAGGATTATTGTGACGCACGAGGATTATCAAGAATGTAAGAAAAAAATTTGCTTGGACGTAAATATAATCAAAATATCTTTCAAATGAGGTATTACATGACTTTACTTTCCATTAGAAAATTTATAGATAGTAACGCCCTCTATTTTACGTCTCAAGTAAAGTGCATCTCATTATAACAAAAATATCATAATGTTTCTCTAATTTCACATCGTTTTTGTTTTATGTCTCTATGTTCTTGTCAAATTTTGTAGTAAGTTTTCAAAATGCTTTTATTTGACATCGCAGGATTGCATTAGAAAAATTCTAACTTCCAATGTAATCTCTTCCCCCCTCCCCAACTGACTAACAAGAGACAAAGTATTTTCATTTTTAGTTAACGCCTAATCTGGGCCACTTATTATTTCCAATTTCAATTGTAAAACAACTGTGATAGACGGACAGACAGAGTAAGTGTTTCTTATTGCCAAATTTGGGTACTTTGTTTTTGTTTTATAAATTTTACCGTTTTTTCATGTTTCGTCTTTTTCAAATTTAAATTTGATATTGTTTTATCACGAGAGAAACGGGACGAGACGAGACAAGACGAGAGAAAGGCTCTCTCGAGCGAGAGAAGCGCCTTCTCGTCGAGACGAGAGAACAGTTTTCTCTCGCCCTACGAGACGAGACG